AATGTTTTGTATCTTGTTCTGTTTGATCTAAACAAGCCCCTAAAAACAGTCAGTGATCACTGTCAGCCCATCTCGGTTTTTATTACAACTGTTCATTTTAAAAATCAGTTTTTAAAACCTTACGATGTAACTACAGCCCAGCCCCAGCAGCAGTATATGAATGACTAACCTCGTATTGTGGATGGATTATCTCAGTTGTTCTCCTGGCTGAAGTTTGGTCCTTTTACAGCATCCTGCCATGTGATTGCATTTGTCTCTAACCATCAGGAACCCTCACGTTAACTTTTATCGAGTGGAAAAAAGTTAGTGTTCATCCTCCAGCTTCACTGTGCTAATGTGTTTATATTATGCTAACCATAGCTGTGTTGTAGGGGTGCAACAATACTCGTATCGATATTGAACCGTTCGATACAGTGCTTTCGGTTCGGTACGCATGTGTATCGAACAATACAAAATTTTTAATTTCCTTCTGACGATGCTGTCTGTGTTGAGCGCTCAGTGGATCTGCGCTCGACAGTGCAGCCTAGGCAGAGTAGTCGAACGCAGATTCACTGAGCGCAGCGCAAGCTAGCGAGACAGAAGCTAAGCTCGTTGCAACATGGCAAATTGAACCTCCCCCACCCTCATTCAGATCTGGCGTTTGGAACTATTTTGGTTTTCATGTGACGTATGACCCTGAAGGTAAGCGAGTCATGGACTAAAGTAAAACAGTATGTCGGATGTGCCACGCAATGCTCAATTACATGGATGGGAACTAGTGTGTTAGCGCAGTTAGCTCGTTCACGTGTTGACGCCGTCCAGCCCCACGCACTGGGAGATGCGCGGTAGCTCGTTAACGTCATTTCAGATTAACGCTGACAGCACTAATAACTTTTCACCTAATAACTTTGTGATGTACTTATTCAGCTACTAAAACCACTTCCTGTTTTTAGAGAACAGTTAGATGTAGAGAAGAGACACCGCAGCTCTTTCCAAGAACATGTAGTTTTAGAAAAGGGGAAGAACCTGTTGATTCTGAGTGACGTTATTTTTACACACACACACATGTATAAAATAAAGGAACGCAGGCAGCAGTGTGCAGTTGCAGGGTGCGTTTGCTGCTGCCCACGCGTGTAAAAACGACTGCAGTCTCTGTGTTTTCTAACTCAGGTGTCTTAGCTGAAGAATTACAGGGTGATTTAAAGAAATCCCCTGTCAATGCTCAAAAAACACAGGCACTTATTTCTATAGTACATGTTTTAATCAATGGGCAGTTATGCTCGTACCACACATCTAATGTTATTGTAAAGTATGACAAAGTTGTGGTTCGAACTCATTTTACATGGTGGGCCACCTACAGCCAACTTTAATCCTAAGTGGGCCAGATCAGGGAAACTCCTCTTCCTGTCAGTGTACGGAAGTTTAACTGCACTTTTAATCCAGGAGATATTATAATGTCCAAAAATACAAAAAGAAGTGCAGCTGCAACAGTCTGTCATTTTTCTACATTGTCAACACGATTCATGGCCTTAAATTGGAAGAAATAAATGTATCAAATTTAAATCATTGCTTAGTGCTGGGCCATATCATACCGTTCACGGTAATACCGGTATAATGTTGGGCAACGATAAGAAAATGAAATATCGCGATAGAATATGGGTAAAACGCGCATGCGCAGTGCCTTTGTTTTCATACGCACATGGCGGAAAAAGCATGGCGGCGAGCGACGGAACGAGAAGGGCGAAAGCGGATCGTTGAATGAAACAGATGAACCAGAACTGGTTTGTAAAAATGCTGCAGCTTCACTGGTGTGGAACTGGTTTAGCTTTCGTCCGTCAGATACACAACAAAGCACTATTTTTGGTAGCGCATGCTAGCGGGCCGTCGTTATTACCGTGTTGTTTGGAAAATACGGCGCACTTAAAATCAATCCTTTGATTTTTCTGAAAGTCGACAGAGCCCCTTATAATCCCGTGTGCCTTATGTATGAACTCTGGTTGTGTTTGCTGACCTCGAAACGGTTTTATGTGCACGGCGCTCAAAAATCTGTCAGATGTTTCAGTACGACCCGCATTGTACATTGTGAACCTGCAATGGAGCATTACGGCTATCGTAGGCGGAGCGATACGTACTGTGCTACAACATGATGTTACCGTATTGTGTGTGTATAACCTCTTTTTAAGTGTTGTGGATATTATACATGGTTATGCTGAGGATATGTCGGCCAGTTTCCACTGGAAATGCCTTTTGGTTAAACTGTCAGCGAGGAATTTGCACTGTTACATTTTTATATAACTTTAATGCACATAAAAAAACAGCTGCTTGTTTAAGTGAAAATACATTATTAGTGCAAAAAAACCCATCAAAGTTGTGGAGTTGTAAAGTGCTATACGCTATATTTTTTATTTTTATTGTGTACTTGCTCATTTAACTGTTTATTCATTACTTAATTACTACAGTGTAGTATGAATTGCCATGATAGAGGTCTTTACCTGAAGGAAAAGCTGTAAAACTTGTGAAAAAACAGTTAAAAGTCCCAAATTTATGACCTCCTTAACCTTTGGCCAGATTAGCATCTTTGCCTGGATGATCCAGGGCCCTAAACCTGACATCCCTGGTCTATAATCTTTGTGCTGTCTTATAGTTCCTGGCTAAAGAGTATTGAGGGCCAATTACTTTAATCAGCCATGTAATTCAGACATTTTTGACTGTGGTTGCTGGCATGGTTTTTACAGTAAAGCAGCCTGTTGTTCTTCTGATATTACTGTCTCTTTTGACATAAGGCGGGAGTGTAAAGTCTTGCACTGTGCAGGTAAACAGTCAGCTGTGCAAGGATGGCACTGCTTCAAATAATGTCAGTTGCCTTTGTGGTAACATGCGTTTGAAATGCTTTGCAGCGTGCACTGTTTTGATTCTTCACACACCTGAGTACAGACTGGTGTTCACAAACACGTCTTGGTTGGCTGCTGCTTCTAAACATATCGTGGGTTGTCGGTCTTGCATGCTGCTCAGTAACATTCACTATTTATTATTTACTGCTATTTGTGTTTATGTTGGTTGTAGCTGTGGTTTCCCTACTGTGATGTTTTCCTTGTGCTTGTTTTAGTTTTTTTCCCAGCAGGTGATCAAACCCATTTTTAGTGTCTTTTCTCTCCGTCTCTCTTCTCCTCTGTCTTTCTGTTCCTCTCCTGTTGTTGAGCCTCTTCCCAACTTCTCTTTTCCTCGTCTTTCACCTTTCTATCCCTAGTCCTGTCAGTTTAGAATCTAATAACTTAAAAGTAGTGCTGTCAAAATTAACGCAGATTACGCCGTCATTACGATTAACGCGATACAAAAAATGTAACGCCAACACATCTGGAGTGCAGAATGACTCAAAATCCCTGAAATGTTTCTGTCAACGCATTTCGGGCAGTTTGTCTCGGCAGAAGGAATTTTATTTTTACAGAAGCACTTCCAGCTTAAAATATCACATTGAAGCGAAGCTTATGTTAGTCAGGGATGCTGCTAGCACTTTGGCTAACGTGTCACCCAGCTTGCTCACGGAGCATCGGGGGCTCGGTAAGTCGACCTCGGACATATTGATTGATGCCAAGTGGATTGCAACAAACTGCAGACCTGTTAATGTCGTTGGGAACAGGCGCTTTACAAGCTTTGGTTCCTCGTCTCAAGGACTTGAAGTGCCTCTCCAAGAGTGACACAGAGAGAGGATAAATGTTCACAGTTTTTTGTTTACATGAAGGTTTAAGATGTTCAATAAACATGTTAAGTGCCTATATTTTCCCTTTTTTCTGTTTGCTGATGCAAAATGAAATGCGATAAATATAGAATAAAAATGAATGATATTTAATTGTGATTAATCAAAATTAATCCACAGTAACCCTGTGATGAATCTGATTAAATATTTTCATTGTTTGACAGCACTAATATATATTATGTATGAGTGTAAACTTACCTATTAGTATATAGGGTTTTTTTAAAGTTGTATTTCACAGGAGAGAAGCTGTGTTAAAAGACTGAAACTATTCATATTCTCTTTGAATTTAAGCATTTAACATTATTTGTGTTTATTCTGCTTCATTATGTTGCATAAATGTCAGTTACAAGCTTAAATATAAAGTTGAAAAAGTGTAATTGCAGCCAGGCTATTGATCAAGTAATTGCGATTAATCGCAATTAACTACAGAAAATTGTGAGTTAGTCTTTTTTAATCTATTGACAGCACTACTTAAAAGTAAAAATAAATAAATAAATAATAAAGATCGAACAAACTACGACAATCAAGTGGGCCAGTATGATAAAAGCTGTAACGATCTGTTGGGCTGTGACAGACAATCCTGATTGCTACAGTCCAGAGAGGACAGGCAAAATAAACCCCAAAAACATATTTCACTTGTTGCTGCTGCTTTTTACAAATGTCATTTCTCATAGACCAACACCCAGTTTTTAGATGCCAGCTTGAATTTTGTTTACGTTCCAACCTCTGCTTCAGAGGCAGCCACATGTGACCTCGCAGCCACATCTGGTGCTGCAAGACTCCAGAGCAAATATCTGTGCTTCCTTTTATTGTTGTGTTGTATGTTTTGTCTTCATGCTGACGTTTGATCCTTCAAATATATGAGCAACTGTTTTATAGAAATTTACTTCTGGTAATAAATAAATGCATCAGCCATTTCCTTATATTATGGGTGCAATAAAAACTCAGGTGGAGCCTAAAAGTTTCAACGTTTGGTTTGTTTTTTTTAAATACACACATACATCAAAAAGTGCTCACACAAATATGACAAAGAGACTTTTCGGTTCCAGAAACAGAAAGGACTTGAGCTCAGAGTTTTTTTCTTCTTCTCTCTATTAATTTTACTCTTTTCCCTCCTACTAGCCGTGAAGCAGTTGCCTGGCAGAAAGTTACATTTTTACCTTTACATCAGAGAGGTTTAACGGATCAGTGTTACAATAAAACTGTAACACTGCTGGTTGCCCACGTTGTGACATGCATGCGTGTTGATTGCGTCTTTAACACATACCTGGGGAAGGCATCGAAGCAGTAAGTCTTGCGTGTGTCAGGGAAGGCCACCCGTAAGCCCGACATTAGTGGTGAGTGCAGGATGACGGCAGCACATTCATAGCGAGCAGCCAGATCGATGGTGGGCACCGTGCCGATGCTCTGACCATACAAGATGATATTCTCAGGAGTTACACCATACCTTTACAAAAACACACAGAAAAGCCACATTCATTTATACTGTGATGTTACTCAGCATACACAAGGCTTCACACATGAAACACTACATAAACTACTACAGGCTCATTTAAACCATTTGTGACGCCATTTAAGCAGCAACTGCTTAAATTAGAAGTTTAAAACTAAAAGGCAGTCTGAAGGGGTCACATTCGTGCTGACCCTGGCTGCAAATACGGGTTTTTGCTAAAAATAAATTAAATAAATAAGATGAAGGTTTTTCTGTCCATATTTTACTCTGGTTGTCTTGTTGCTGGCTAAAGTGAGACAGGAAAATCCAGCTGTCAGCTGTAATGTTAGTTTGTAGAGCACTTAATGAACGAGGACTGTTTGGTGGAGAATCACTTTGAGTCAGGTGATGTCTTCTTTTTGTGTTCCCTTTTTTTGAACAGTATATAACACAATATATAATATATATATTTTCATCCTAATCAGCAAAATATTTAGATTCTTATATTATTGTCATTGGAGTTTAGCCTGTTTGTACATTTAACATTCAGCAGCTTTCTAAATTGAATAGTTTATTTTACAATACAGAAAAACAAAGACTTTACCACAGTCAAAATTATTAGACCTGATAGACCCAGGTGCCAATAGTCATCTACTAATCATAAGGTTGGCCTTTCGATCCCTGGGTGCTCCCTGGGTGTCCATGCCAAATATCCTTGTTTAATGATATTAGAGTGAATATTGGATAGAAAGCACTTAAACATAGAAAAAAGTGTTTTTGTGAAAGAGTGAGTCTCTCAAGCTGGACCTTCAGTTCACCCCACAGATTTTGAAAGAGATTCACGATTCCTTCCACTTTGATTGGATTCCTGGTTCCAGATATACTTGAAGAATGTTTCTTTGGGATGCACGCCACTCCCTTCTTTCTCCAAAAAAGCGTCTCAATGTCCAAAGAGCTCTAGTTTCATCAAATAAAAGGATGCAGTTCCAGTATTCATAATGTTTGTCCACGTTGTCCTCCGTCTTGATGGTGTCTCGCCTGCAAAAGTGGTGTTTTTCTTGGTCTACGACCTCGCTTTCCATTTGTGTTCAGTGTTCTAGTGGTTGTCCTCTTTGAGACTAGAATTCCCAACTTGGCCAAGTCCTTCACTTCTGTTTTGGAAGACAATTCTTGCTAGTTTGTTCGAAGTGTCTTTGGAATCTTTTGCTTCCTGCCTCTGCCAGGCCTGTTCTGTTTGAATTTCTTGATTCCCACTCCATTTCATAACACTATTTTAACTTTGTATATTCATCTCCTGCTTTGTTAGTACCAACAATTCTTTTTCTCAAGCATAAACTCATTTCTTGTGTTGTTGGAGCTGCACTGCTTTTATCATCTAGTATAAATCTAGATGACAATGAATGTGATCTTTATGTTATCACCCTACTGGTGTATTAAAATAATGACACTATTATGAGATTCATAATAAACTGAACGTTGCTCCTAAATACGTTTGTATTGCAGGTCTGTTTTTTGTCGTGGGTGAAACACTCAAGCATGTATTAAAGGAAGCATCGAAGCAAAGAATTTGTGTGGAGCATTTTTTTTATTATCGAATTATTTGAATTAATTGATGAATTGTTGCAGCCCTACATTTAATTACTGAGAAATTCTTTCAGTAACAGTATGACAGTGGATCAACCATTAGACATGTGACCTGGAAACTGGCATAGCGTTTCCCAGCTTCTCTTCTAAAGTACTGCAGTCCTGACAGAAAACAGTTAGTCTGTCAAGCAGAGGAGATTCTGGATGGCATGTCCTCTTGCCTTCACTCACAATCTGGAAAGGAAGCTTAAAACAAACCCTCCCATTCCCTGACAGTGCTGGGAAACAAACTATACCACAGCAAACACACAAAGGTTGTTTTTGTTGTTGTTGTCGTTTTTTTTTTTTTAAACCATTCTGTTTCCAAATCCAGCTTTACAAAGGATTTGGAGTAGAGGTGCTGTGTTGGACGTCCCCTATGAAGAGATGTCATTGCAACAGCTCTTCAGATAACAGCTTGGGTGTGACTAATCTTTTGGCCTAGACAAGTACTTCCTCTGATAAGCAGCTACTGAACTGCGCGGTCATCCTGACAGCTGATTATGACCTGACACATGGATGGGCAAAGTCCCCGCTGGGTGCCATCTGACTCACAACTCCCTGGACTTTGGAGCACCAGACAGAACATTGTAAGGAAAAGAGACTCATCGTTGAGAATGAATGCAACTGTATATCATGGCTACTAAACGATGAAGAACAAAAAGAAGAAGACCAAGCAGATGGACATCATCAAATGACTTTCATGAGCCCTCAGCAGACAAAAGGCATAAATGTGTTTTTTGTTTTTTTTAAATGGCCAAAAATTACAGATATGTTTTAAGACACCCAGTGGAACATCTTGAAAACAGAGCAATTTACTGAAATGACCTGTTTTTCAGGGATAAATATCGGGAGTCAGTCAACACTGTGAAAAGCAGTGGTTTAAGAATAAGATCTCTCAACAACATGGTGATTTATGGTATGCCGTGAACAATGTGGAAAAGAACGCTTAAGAGCCATAATATCTGGCAGATATAATGCAGAACCAGCTTCAGCAAAGGTGATGTGGTATCTCCAACACTGTGATCGATGCAATTATGTGCAGGAACTTCGACGGCTGCCGTGGAGTCCAGTTCAACAATGACCAAGATTGAGTCATGAGTGTGTATGTCATAGGAAACTTGCACATTTTGTCAACAAAATACATGTTTTAAGGCAACATTTATCACCATAGGGACAATGCCTTTTACATCCTCCACTTCCATGACGGTGAAGGACCAACATGGCAATTGTAAAGAAAGTGACACAGTGGAAGCTGTGGCATTACGAATTCTGAATTTAACAAAGACCTAGTTCAATTCTGCAGTTAGTTTAAGAGAACAAATGGAAAAAACTGACAGAGTTAAGCTGAAAAATACAAGAAACTGCATCATATTGAAGATATTAACAAACAAATTGGAGAAACAGAGGGGCGCATTATCAGTGACTACCATTAACCAGTGCTCCCCCTTGACGGCAGAGCGGGCTGGTTACGAGCCGGGAACGAGCTCGCAAAGAGCACGCGCATCTTTGCAGTCTGAGCGGTGCAGGGCTGTAAGGGAAAAGGAGAGATGCAGACTGATGCAACAAAAACCAGTAGGGTGTAATGCATACACTGTATTCTATAGCACACAGGAGTATTAGCCTATTATGTACAATTAGTAAACTGTTTTGTGACAACTGACGAAACAAAAGAGCGTCCTGTGTGTGCAACAGCACGACAAAGCATTACCTTTCCTTTGATTAAATGCACAAGTGGTGCTGGTCATTAGCTGCTCGCTAACTGGGTAAGGCTGACCACTGTTTTAAGAAACATATTTAGTTTTAAAGTAAGTTACAGGGCCTGCCTTTCTGGAGGACTAAATAATTAAGAAATAGAATATATTGGATTTATATTTCAAGCACTGGGAATATATAATAAGGGATTCTGGATCAGCACCATGATGCAAACTTGTGGCCATAGTATATACAGCAGGGGTGTCAAACTCAAATACACAGTGGGCCAAAATTCAAAACTGGAACAAAGTCGCGGGCTAACGTTAATATTTATTGAAATATATTTATTCCTCCAGATATAAGAATGAATCTTTTCTTATGGACTCAAACACGTTTTGCTGAAAAATTGAATATGGAACAAGCAAAGCTTAATACTAAACAATATATATATTAGCTGTGTAATACCAGCAGGCCAGCTCTGATAGGAATTTGGTTTGACACCTATGATATACAGTATTCTGGAGAAGGTATAAAATGTCACTGTATGTGTGTGTTTGCTTTATATGTATAGACTTTTTTTTTAAAATTATTAATCATGATATAACATGGTCCAGACATGAGGAGGAAACTGTGACAAAAGGAGCTGTGTGATGCAGTGCATCCCTCACCAGCTGGATTAAAGAGGTAACAATAACACGTGTACCAGTTGTTGCATTGCAGAGGTGTTCAAGTAGAAAAACAATAATAAATAATGTTTTGGTTCTATAACATTTTTCTATTATTTCTCTATTATGGATTAGGTGCAAGAGTTTTTGTATGTGTGGGTAATTCAATAACAGACTAATGCAACAGCAGACTGTGCCTTGTTCTCAGAGGGACAGCAAATGGAGAGTGATAGTTTAGATGAGGAGATGGAAGGAGGAAGAGAGTAAGTCACAGGCGCTGTCACCGATCTTTGCATTTTATTATTATCTCATAACACTTGTTTAATCAGCTACCAGCTCTCCTATGGACTTTTTAATGTCTACAGTGTCAGATCAACACAGCCCTGCCCTCCAGCACCATCAGGAGCAGCAGCAACACCTCAACAGCAACAGTGTACCCATCAGGTAAAACATAGGCTACGTTTGCTTTGCATTGTCCCTGCCTGATGACAGTGATATAGTATGGTGTGATTTCATATTAGATTCTTGATGAATGTGGGTTGTTGTTATTCTGCCCCTTTTTAACTTTCAGCACCATCTCTGCTCATGGTCAACTTCACTCCAGCATGTTTTCTGATGAGGCGAAAAACTGGAGCACCAGGAAGCACATGTAAAATGTCTACATGTAAAATGTCTCACCCATTCAGAATGGCTCTGAATGGGTGAGACATGCAAGTCGGTAACACCACAAATTAATAATCTCAAATAAATTATCAGTTATGGGTAGGGATGGGTACCGGTATCGGTTCTGACATAAACGGTAGTAACCAGACCGAAAAGCAGCACACATTTCAGTGCTTTATTTC